AGCATTGATTGCCCTTCACGGAAGGAGGGGGATTAACTGGCCACGGTAAAAACTGAAGCTGAACTAACTACACACCTCTTTTCGGCCTATTGGCAACTGACCCTTTCCTTCTCTCTCTCTCTCTCTCTCTCTCTCTCTCTCTCCTTCTTAACATATGCTCCATAGGCCTTTATTCTATTCTGTCTATTGCAGAGTGTCGGCCTGGTTCTTATTCCACCGACCCGAGACATGATTAAAGCAATTAAACAGCCCAAGAAGGGAATGATGATTTTCAGTCACGCTCTCACGCTTCCCATTCCCTCTTTTCGAGGTGAGGATACATCTCCGCGACGATGCAGTCTGGCAGCATTCATTACTTCCGGAAGCCTTAGGAAGGATTGAGTGTCAGAAGTGCCTGCTTCCACTCTCACGCAGATTTGCCGTGTGTGACTTATAGGTATTGCAATCAGACGCGGTTTCATTCACACTTTACATGCATGCAAACAATAGCGCAGCAAACTGGCGACATGCGCCCACTCGGTACTCAGAGGTATGGCAACGCAGATACGAGCTCACTTCAAAAGGCTATGGCTCGCCCATACACTCTCTGTTCGCATACAATGGATCACCCTGGATATCTCACACGCATCTCTCTGAACACTCACACACACACACACAGAACACTAACTACAGCTATGGCGGCTATGGCCGCCTCTACCCTATTCATTACTTCCGGAAGCCTTAGGAAGGATTGAGTGTCAGAAGTGCCTGTTTCCACTCTCACGCAGATTTGCCGCGTGTAACTTATAGGTATTGCAATCAGACGCGGTTTCATTCACACTTTACATGCATGCAAACAATAGCGCAGCAAACTGGCGACATGCGCCCACTCAGTACTCAGAGGTATGGCAACCCAGATACGAGCTCACTTCAAATGGCTATGGCGATATAGCGCCCATACACTCTCTGTTCGCATACAATGGATCACCCTGGATATCCCACACGCGTCTCTCTGAACACTCACACACATACACACAGAACACTAACTACAGCTATGGCGGCTATGGTCGCCTCTACCCTATCGCTATGGCTAAGCTCCGTCACTCTGCCCACTTCGTCTTCGCGCTCACTGCAGACCTCCTTGCACAAGTCGCTGTGGCAGCGCTTCCGCATGGCTCACGCAGGAATGAATGAATGGCTGGGCGCTGCCTCTTGATTTATACTTCTGCAGCTCGTTGGTCTGGCCCTTTCCCATGCCCGAAGTGCACACAGTCCCATGCGGTACTTGCTTGACTGGACCAGGACTGCCTAGGACTGGGACTGCTGACTCAGCATGGGTAGACTCCACCACTTGCCTCGCCACTTGCCCACTTGCCTCAGCCTAACAGTGGGAAACTCCGAAAGGCCACTACTCAGACCTTCCGGAACGCCGTAGACTTGGCCTTTCGGTCCTGTAGCAGCTACGACTTTGACCCTTCTGGACTGTAGCAGCTACGACCCTGACTCTTCGAGAAAGCTATAGCTACGACCTCTAGACCTGACTAGGACTCCTATTCGACAGGTCTACAGATCCAACCCTGGCTACCTATGGACCCTACGACAGCCTGTCAACGGTTACAAATACACAGGTCCCGGGTTCAACTCTAGGGGTCGACACAGGTACTGTACACAGGTAAGGTGGGGACTAGGGATCAAGCCCTGGGATCTGCATCAGCTACTGCGAACTGGTGAATACCGTTTCAGTATAGCTAAATTAAGCTAATATCTATTCAACCTCCTCATCGACGAAGAACAAAAAGAAGAATAATAGCGGAAGAGTCTTCAAGGTGAAAAACCTCACTGAAACCTCGCTTTTAGGTCAAAATTTTCGCCCAAAAAAAAGAGACCGAAACAATTTCCCACCCATAGTGGTGACTGACCGGATAGTTTTTTAGTGGGGGCATGTTAACTGAAAGTCTGCAATGCGGAAAAAGTCAACACGGTCGGGAAAAGAAGGGGGGAGAGAGAGAGAGAGAGAGAGAGAGAGAGAGAGAGAGATCGGAAAGTGACGAAAGAGAAAAGGGCAAAGAAAAGAGGACAGAGAGAGTCTAACACTAAGTCTGGGAAGGTCTAAGCCAGGCCGTGATGCTTTGAAAATCGACCCAGGCAGAGGTTGAGCCGAGGCATATTCCGATCCGCCGTAGATATCTCAACTGAAGTCTAACTCAGCTATTATATTTACGACAGAGGAACATATCCGACAGTCACGACCGATTAACACCTCCAGGAGCATTGCTAGTAATATCTGCGAATTTCACCGCCACGGCCAGAACTCTTTTCCCACGTCAACGACTGCTTGACAACCACTCGATCACGCTGCCGCTACCGTAGTGGGACTTGGCTCCCTGGATCGAGTCTAGTTTGATGTGTCTAGGTTCGTACATTGTTGACAGGGCACGCAGCCGTGACCCTGATTCACGATTGAGAACGGCGCCCCTGTCTAGCCTGTCCTTTCAATATCATGAACCTAATAGACTGTTCTGTCCACCAATCAAACACTCGTAACATCTTTCAACTCTACACAATACACACACAGACACACACACACACACACACACACACACACACTTATGAACCTAATAGACTGTTTTGTCCACCAATCAAACACTCATAACATCCTTCAACTCTACACAATACACGCACACAAACACACACACAGACACACACACACACACGCACAGACACACACACTCAGACGCACACACACACACTGACAAACACGCATAGTCACTCACACACACACACACACACACTCTTGAACCTAATATACTGTTCTGTTCACCAATCAAACACTCGTAACATCTTTCAACTCTACACAATACACACACACACACACACACACACACACACACACACACACACACACACACA